CTATAACGACTATGACGCTTACCTAAGTTCTCTATTAAATAGTACTATAAAGTGCTTCTTATACTATAATTATAATTATATTATAAAGTTACGCTTTTATAATTAAAGTATTATTAATAATAACCGTAGCTTTAAGGCGGTATTATACTACTTTTTAGGTAATATACTCCTTAAATAGTTTTTATACACGCTCTAGTAAAGCCGTTAAAATAAAACTAATTAATTTATTATAAATAACGCGTTTTTTATTATTAAGTGTATCTTAAATCGCGTTTAACTTAAAGTTACGTAATACTTATTTTATAAACTATTCTTTACCTATATTTAGGTAATAGTAGCTTTATATAAGCCCCTAGTTCATGATTGTAACTGTTGTCTCAGTTCGCGGACTTGCTTTTCTAATTCGGAAGAGCGCCTACGATTATCAGCATAGCAGGAATTGCCGCAGCAGAAATAAAGGGCGAACGACAAACGTTTATTTAAATCTTAGGTTATTTTTCGTTTTAAAGGCGATCTTAAGCTAGCGTTATAGTACGAGAGCGAGAGTAACTTAATAGCCTTTTATAAAGCGTTAATTAATAATAATAAAGGTTTTAAGTTACACTTATATAAGTATTATATAAAGTAAAATATAATACTTTAATACCTAATTAATAATAATAATTATTATAATTTAATATAAAGAAAGTAAGTTATATAAGTTTTATTTAAGTATTTAAAAACATTTAATATTTTTAATAAATAATTATAAGTATCTTATTTTCCCTTATAAATTTATTTAAGTCTTTTTTTACTTATACCTACTTAAAGCCTACGAGTAAGCAACCTACACGGGTACCCGTGGACCTTTTACACTCTAGTCTCCACTACTTTTCTAGAATCTTCATCCTTCATCACATCTTTGGTAGCTAGCTTTTACTATAGATTCTTGTTACGTGTATTTCAGCTCTTGCATTAAGTTAATTAAGTAATGAAAAAATTAAGCCAGATGATCATGTAAGACGTCTAGTAACACTATGTTTTAGCCGTACCTAAGCCAGGGTTACACGCAAGCCTCTTGTTTATACAAAAACAGCGGTGAGCAAGCGAGCCTAGGGGCCTAGGGCCTCATCTAGATCTCGAGCCCTTGTGTAACTATCGTCAGGTTCAAGTTACGGCCCGTGCCTACATTGCTACGTGACCTCCATGTCACTAGAACGCCTATAGGCGACAATCACACCTTACACCTGTCTTTACATACGTTTTCTTTTGTAAACCTGTTGCCACGCATAGCAGGCTTGACATTGGACAATTGTAAACATTACTAGTCCGTAGGATGTAGAGAGCTATGCCGAGCTGGCTCGGCTTGTGCTCTGGCCTGATATGACAAGGGCTTAGTGAGGGCTTGGAGTAATAACTCAATCCATCTATAATAGTCTTTAGTATTAGAAGTCCTTAGTTTCTTCAACGCCTAGATAACCCTAAAAGCTCTATGTATACAAGAAGTCGGTGAGCCTCATGCCCTGGGTCTCGTGATCGTAGCCCTCATGTAATTGTGTTACACCTGGGCAGAGACTTGCAACAAGCGAGATGAGCTTAACGAACTGTCCTACTCTGATTTCTTGCTGCGGTTAATTATTCTCTGGCGTTTACAGATTCGGTAGTAATCAAGTTGCCTAGTGATCTACGCACGCGCTCATAGCTTTACGTTTATAGAGATGAGGTGATAATAGCTACAATAGATATCAACTTGAGTTTTTTCAGGTGGCAGGCAGAAGGGAAACACAAAGTTAGTCCTTCTTGAGAAAAGAATGTTGCAGACCGCATCCTTGCTTCATTCTGCGAAGTTCTGTCAACGATATTGTGAGGAGTGGTTTGGGACTCAGATCCCATCTTCCATCTATTCTGGCACTGCACGAGAAGCCTGCGCCCCGACAGCCTTAGTGAACTTGGCTTTGGAGACCTCCGTAAGCTGTTGAAGAATTGCATGGTCTTTCGGCAGATTTCCGAGAAACTCCATCACATTGGTTTGTGGGATCTCTTGCCTGATATGCAAGGGGAGCTCTTCGACAAGATCTTTTGCATAGTCAGAAGAGTCGCCTTGGGGTCTGACAAGTGTGCGGTATGGAGGGGAGATTCTTAGACAAACTTGCTCGTCTCCCTTATCTCCTCCTGCGGGCTATACTCACCTGCGACCGCACTCGGTCATGTAGTTCGATGCGTGGGCGGCAGATGGATCAGAGTACTTCTCCAATCGTATTGCGGAGAACGGCAAGGTGCTCAAGACGATCCGGTCCGAAAAGGCCGCCGTGGTCAGGCCCAGGGGCGCAAACAGCGCATGTCCGCCCGTCCCGATGACGGAGACGCCACAAGGATTTGGAATTGAATTTGATTTTGGAGAGGGTAGAAGTTTCAGCGCTAACTTAACAACCGAACTTGTGACACATAAACTCCGGGCAACTACGACCAGAGGTTGATGTCACACCACCAAGGCCTGGACAAAGGTATCGGATATCAAATGTTACACAACAACAAAGAAAGGTATCACGAGAGACCGTTGTCGGACCTTGGCAAGGGCTGCCTCAGGCTACTAGGGCTCACTGACTTCTTATATATATAGAGACCTTTGGTCCCTCAGGGCCTCTTGGAAAACCAAGGATCTTTAATACCCTAAAGTCGTTTATTAAACATTAAATTAAACTAAATGTTCCGGGCCCAGTCACCCTGCCCTTGTCACAGGTGATCAGCTCAGTCATGGGTGGTATTTTAGGTGAGGAAATCTTTGAAGGGCTCGATAGAGGGCTTGGAGCAAAAGGGGCTCAATTCAATAATAATCTCGTAGGATATCAAAGGTCCTGAGTTCCCTCAAGGAAGGAAGGGAAAGGTGACCTCTATATATACATGAGGGGAACGGCCGGGCCTAGGGCTCTAGCCCGGGCACGTGTTCCAGCTGTGTAACCATCATGTCCTATATTGGCGAAGCCCCTTTGTTGGGCTTCGCGATCTGTTGGGCCTTTTCCGTGTAACAGACAAAGACAGTATTCTAGGTTCCTAGAAATGTTACATATGGCCGCCTGACCAGCTACTTGAGTAGCTCTCCGGTCTTCGTTCATACGAGATTCTTACGTGGGTCACTAACATTTATAAACTCGGTTAAATCTGCGATTCTGGTACTATATCTACCAAGTATCGGCGTATTCTATGCATTGACCTCAGCGGATGTTAACCTGCCCTAAGATGCATATTCTTACTTTCCTGAAAATCAACCCTTTTTTTCTGAACAAGTTTCCCTCGTCCTAATTCATTCTAAACAATCATCGGGCTACCAAGCAGACAAAACAAGCATTCGGCCCCGTGTACCAGCTCAAGCCAGATTCTTGAACTTGGATGCTACTGTTCCCAGGAGATCATTGAATCAACTGTCCCTAATCTGGGAAATGGTGCTTCTTGGCTTGGGTCATTATTACCGCGTCTACCAAGTCCGTGTTACGGTTCCGTGCGAAGTAGCTTTCAGTTCGTTGACAATTGTCGTAAGAATTGCGATTTTCAGCATATCCCCTTTTCCCTACAGCTTAACAGCACGGCGGCCCATAACAGATGATCACTGCGACTTATACTGAAACATGACTTTTATTAAGATGACACTTATGTTGTTTGTTTTTGATACTATTTTTGCGAGTAGAGTAGCTCGATTCGGTGTAGTACGATCCCACGTCTGCTCCGACGACGTGAACCGGTGGCTGTACGTTTTCGCACTCAGCATCTAGTGGCGGCAACCTCCTCACGCACCTAGCTTCGTGCGCCATTAGACATAAAGCGCATGATGAAACGCCATTTGGAGGCATAAAAAATGTATATTGCCAGGCATAACACCACGCTGATATGACCCGACCATTTCGACGCGAGTCTTGGCTTCATACATACACATACACACACACACACACACACACACACATATATATATATATATATATATATATATATAGGGATCTGTGATGCGTTTTGTAACATTGCTATTCGCCATATTAGTTGTAGCCATTTCTCAATCTTGTGAAACAAAATATTTAAACATGTCAAAAAAAAGTCATCATAGACGGTGGCGTCGCTGGGGGCG